CAGCCGAACAGTTTCCCGTTAGTCGTCTCAAGTTTAAATAGCCATACGTGTTGTGGGCCCCCCCAAGTTCCTGATGTGAATGTTGATTGAAATAAACCCCATGAAAACGATAGTTATAAGATATTATTTGCGTATCATAAACATTCATAAACCATAGTGAAATTGGAGTTATAAACGCACCAACTGAACGCAATTTCGTTTTCGGGTCCCACTTACATCATGGGATACTACCTGATGATAACCTCATTTGTCAACATCAGAGACAGTGCGATATTTTTCCCTCATCCCTTGTGCTGAAGAAATGCACCTGACCCTGTTTTGCATCCAATGAGTGCGCGCTGCACGGGCAACGCTGAGCTATTTCGCTATGTGCATTTCACATAAAACGCCAACAAGCGCCGGGTCAATCTTCTGGGTATGGTTGAAACATGGGCGTGTGAATCCCATGATGTAGTGGTCTGATTTAGGATCTGAAACTCTGAAACAATCTTTTTCCCGGTGGGATAATTTTCATCCATGACCTTCCGTCTAAACCGAAGGAAAATGCTACTGACTCGCGAAAGGATGAGGTAAGCCTGAAGGAAATCTCTGCAGGAGTCACGCTGAAGGGATAGGGTCCAGGTGAACATCAGATTGACCGGCTCAGCTGGCTCTCAAACAACTGGTCAAGATATTAGATAACTTCTCCCCGACACATCTGGGTGGCCCCAAAAATCAGGGTCCCAAAAAAACCAGTGATTTCCCTGGTTAAAATGATCAATAAGTATTCATTATATCCCCAGAATATTCCCATTACACCAGCACTGACGTTGCTTAAATCCACATCTTTCATTGGTAACCCCCATAATATCAATGGGAAATTCAGGATCCTAAAATGGAGGTACCGATTCCATATATAAGGCCTATTTTTCAGGCCTAGGTAAGTGAATATCACAAAATATGGCCAAAAATATGGTACGGACGTAGCTCCATTTTTGGATCCTGGAATTCCCATTGACCTTATGATACATAACCGTTACATCCCACTATAATCCCATGAATTGTTGGTTCTACCTTTATGTTTTGATGGTACTACCCCATATTTCGCTGGCAATATCACCATTATATCCCACCCTTGATGGCAACTTGATGATTCAACTCAGGTGATCTATGGGGGTCGGATAACACTTGCACCAATTTTCTCAAACGTGGAGTATAGAAAAAACACTACAGAAAACAGAGATGTACAGAGTACAGATTTGAAGATAATGCTTAATGTATATAGAGATTAATATTCATTAATGGTTAATACTAGTGGTTGATAACTGGACAATTGACAATTGTGAAAAAAAATCAACCCCGCCAAAGGTACCCAACAATGAGGCTTTATTAAGGGCTTGTTCTCTACCAACAACCAATAGTACAAGGGTTTGTTCGCCAGCTATCATTGGAGGGTTCACTTTTGCAGGGGTTGAATCCAGAGAGTGTTTGATCTCTTGGTTAGCCATTTGCGTTGGTCAAATGTCCTTTTTCTTTTGCAACGGGACATGAACTTTTGAAGCCTACAATGCGGGGATCCCATAAGTAATTTAAGATGTACTTCAATAACTCCGAATGTACTAGACCCTCCAAGTACTTGGAAACATCGGGCAGTACACCCATTCTACCATTATGACCGGGGACTTTTAGCAAGTCATTCATGGTCTAAGTAGCTACACAATCAAATGCGTGAACATCAACCAACAAAAACAGTCAAGGTGGGGACCCCAAGTTAAGTTGGTTTTGCTTCATGTATTAATATGTAGGTAAAACCCTCCATGAGAAACCTAGTTCGACATATCTATCATAAACATTCATAAACCATAAATGTTAGCTATAAACTAACTTAGCTAATCTTGGCTATCTATGGGGCCCCACATCAAACACATTGTACAAAGTGGGGCCCCCGTTGACGAAATTGCGTTCAGTTGGTGCACATAACTCCAATGTCACTATGATTTATGGTACCTATAACGAACTAGTATTCATGGGGTTTATAAACCATCGTTCCATCACTGGGGGGGCCCACATTTTACCAACATCTTCGTTTCATCCGAAACGGCGCCGTCATGAAAGTCACATGTCCGGAAGGTCGTGTCCGGTGAAGTGGCCACCATGGATGACCATGGATGACTGGTCGACCATAGAGTAATAGTTAATATATCAATTAGTGAATAAAATGGTTATTAATTTTATAGTATTTTATGGTATTCACTAATTATTATTCACTAATTATGGTATTCTAATTGATGTTAATTATTATGACTCATTAGTGGATTATGAATGGTAATTATATAGTAATTATAGTCCGTAAAATGGTTATTGAACATTAATTATTAAATGGTTATAGTAATAATATATAGTAATATAGTAATTATAGTAATAATATATAGTAATACCATGCATTTAGTAATACCATATTATTATATCAATCAATTAGTTGATTATTACTATTTCTATGGCAATTACTAGTAAATATTACTATGGTAAATATGGTTAATTATACCATATTACACTAATTTTTTATATAGTATCAATTCGTAATTATCACTATTTCCATGGTAATCATTAGTAAATTATTACCATTGAATTATGACTAATATCATGGTTATCATTAAATTAGTGGATTATGATCAGTAATGGTTATTATAAATTATTGATAATTAATGGTCAGTTAATTGGAGTTAGTATTATTAATTCTATGACCATTAAATTATTAGTAGTGATTATACACACTATTATAATGGTCATAGAATTTAATGAATATTTAGCCTCCAGAAAATTAACATAGACCCTGCAAGATAGAAACAAGGAAGATTAGTTTCATTAAACAAATGCTATTCTTGGGGTCTATGTTAATTTACCAGAGGCTAATTCGAGTTGAAGATTTTTTCTCTCTGAATTCGTGTAACGAAATGACACAGGGCTTGTTTTTCTGGATGTGGCAACAGCAAACCCTGGTAAATATCACATTTGATGGGATCATCATCCCAGGGTGTAAATTCCGCTGCCGACCCATTTCTTCTTTGTCTACAAAAAAACTATTTTGTTCAAAAGCCAAGGTCATAGTACAAACCAAAACTACTGTTTTTTAGCTACTATATAAGATACTATGAAATACTATATGCATATCATCATACTGAAGCTGCATGAAGCAACTCAGAGTGTCGGGTTCAGAATGTGAGCTGGGAAAATTCCACCAGAAGGGCTTGGATCGACGGTATTTCGTCGTTGAGCGGTGTGACCGCTGAGTTCCGAACCGTTCTTCATAGAATGCGAAGGGTTCAACATGGTCTTGTAGTGCTAGGGTCAAGACATGGTGTCATATATGGAGGTTTCCTAAAAATTGGGTACCCCGTTTATCATCCATTTATAGATGGATTTTCTGTGAAATAAACCATCCAGCGAACTTGGGGTACTTCCATTTATGGAAAACCCCATGTATGGGTTGTTGTCATCCATCTCACAATGGGAATCCTTTTAGTATCTTACAATGAGTACATCATTCCCTACAATGTGGGGCCCCCAAACGTGATGTGAATGTTGGTTTATAACCCCCATGAAAACGATAGTTATTTGGGTATCATAAACCATAGTGACATTGGAGTTATAAACGCACCAACTGAACGCAATTTCGTCAACGGGGACCCCACGAGTTGTATGAATGGATTGATGATCCCAATATTGGGTGGCTACATGATATCTACATCATATCTAAGGGTCCTTAAATGATTCCCTGCGAAGGATTGAAAGTGGACATCTGCAAAAACTTGGTACCCTCTGGTAAACATACAAAAACTGATGGGAAAATCCACCATTTTATAGCTGGGTAAATCCACTATAAGTGGCCATTTTCAATAGCTATTTTGACATAACCAGAGAGTAGATCCCTCAAATTTCCTCCAAAGAAGAATCCAAACTCAAATCTGCGGATCGGTCGAACAAAAACTGTTCAGAACTGCAACATATCATCACTGCGGTCTGTGAATCGGAGGCCTATGACCATCCCTTCAAAGCAGTGGCCAAACTTGTGGTGGTGGGTTGAAAAACTCTCTACGGTAGTTCACAAAAATGAGGAGATCTTCGCAGTGAAGAAACACCTTACTGGTTGGTGGTTGACCTACCCCTCTGAAAAATGATGGAGTTAAAGTCAGTTGGGATGATGAAATTCCCAATCTGAATGGGACAATAAAATTGATGTTACAAAACCACCAACCAGCTTAAGTGTCGTCGCTTTTTATATATCATATATCTCGTTGAAGTTCATAGGATTGATAGGGATATCCCTGTGAGAATCACCTATTTCATCCTATTTCCATCCGTCAGAGATGGGGCTTGACCAAACTGAAAATGCACAGGAAAAATCCTACTGCCCTTCAAGTGTTCCTCAAACATGGCAATCTGGAAAAATCCGCGGACTATTTTTTATATGGGCATTGGTATAGATCCGAAAATCATCGAACTCAACGGAGTTTGTTTTCCAGCAAAACCATGTTTGATGACCCGAATGGTGAATTTTAGCAGCCCAAAAACCTGAATCTGTTCAAGAAACATGATGATTTGTATGCGTTATGTTAGTGCAGTTGGTGTTTAACCAGGGACAAATGAGTAAACCGTTGACATTATCACGAACACAAAATGGGATTCATCATGAACTTATGCCGTTTCCAGCCAATACTTCATCATCATTTTCTTAGATTTGCCTGAGGAACCCCAGAAAACTACAAGATGGTTTATAAAGCCCATGAAAACTATCGTTATTTGCTTATCCTAAACCATGAAAACTATAGTTATAACTATGTTGGTTTATAAACCACATGAAAACTATAGTTATAACTATCACAAACCATAGTGAAATTGGAGTTATTTGCACCAAACGGGGGCCCCACGAGTTGTATGTCCCGTATGTCCTTTTTTTCCCTAGTGTCCCGGAAAATTGCCGAATTTTGCATCCACTTTTTGGCAGTTTTGGCCACTGCCGAAAAATCCCAGCGCTATCGGTGACACGGGGGGAGGTCCACCTAGGACCGCCGATTATCGCCACGGCGCGCTCAAAAGGGCTGCTGGATCATCGAGAGAGTGCGCAGCATCTGCAGCAACGATGACACGCAAGACATCCACTCGGAAAGCCTGGGTGGTGACAGATATGTCATAGATGGGAGAAGTCGGGGAAGTACGTGTTAGGTCTAACATGTATATATCATATTATATCATGTGATATAAGATACACTATATATATATATATATTATAATACAGTATGATACACACATATATATGTATATATCAACAAATATATATATATATATGCTCAGTGCCATTACATGGACCTACCTTTTTCCACTTTGTAAATGTTGCAGCTGATATCATTTTCGCAGGGCGGTGACCATATATGCACATATATATAATATATATATATAAATATGCCAAAGCAACCTAAGGGATGGCCAAGTGCCTGAGAAGTCTCCAATTAGAAGCGCGGGTCCACATGACACGCGAATGACAGGCTATGTTTGTGTTTATTTCATCATGGACAATCTGTACAAGGAAAAGGCCGAGATGGCCACAAAAGGCAAGTACAGGAAGACATTCACCTTGTTGGTTTCTCCAAGAACCAGGAACCTCAGAACAGCGACAAGGCCATTTCGTGTTTCAGTGTTGGTGGTTTTCGGCTGACCAAAGTAAAACGCCAGCATGCACGCTGGCGCCACAGTGTTGGTCCATAAGCTCTGGCGCCAGCCCATTCCTCTGAGAGGCTTTGTTTGTTCTTCTGCAACAATACGGCAGCCACTTGGAGAACTCCAGAGTGGCGACTGTTTGTCGTAATCTGCGACTGTTAGACTGTTGCTGGTTATGTTGATTTGTCATTCATGGCTAAAACTAAAGGGGATTATTCAACTAGCTATTTCTTTATCGCTAAACGATGCTAAACGCAGGTTTCCAAAGTCATGTGGTTAACCCCCTAACCATCCAAGTCATGCATGACCAATACTTAGTATTGAAAACCATGGTGCCTTGGGGATTCCCCATCTTATCGCCATTTCAGGAACCGATTGATTGGAGGTACCTACCATATATATATGGCTTATATTTCAGCTATGTCAGGGAAAATGCCAAAAAACAATAAATAAGTAAATAATTCAATATGTAATTTAAATAAATATATATATATATTATAAATTAGATATGTCCTTATATGGTACTAAGCTACTTCCATTTTAGGGTCCTGAAATTCCCATTGATCTGAAGAGGTGTCGACGACTTAGAACCCCAAAAAGGTGGTGGTGGTCACCCCCCAATCGATATTATGTATATCTTTTATATATGTATGTAGCCATCATATCCATTCAACATACATATATATATATACACACATACAGACGTATGATTAAATATAGGTAAACATATGTATATACATATATACTAATATGTGCAAACTGTATATATAATATGTACACATTAGCATAATGACCAGGTATAGCCTGGCTAGTGGATTTTGCTGTGCTGCGACGATCCTACTCGCTGAACCTGGCATAATTGTGTCCATTGAAACAAGAACCCTGAAGACCACTTATAAGTACCACTTATAACACCATTTACCACTTATAAGTACTTATAACACCATTTATAAAATGTATACTCCCATTGAAATAACCAGTTATAACTAGTAAATGGCCATAACTGTAGACATGACCAAACTCGACTAGGAGAATCCAACTGAAGTTAGAATCCACAAAACAGTTGGCTAAATGATGCGTAGTTAGTTGACCTTCATAACCCACCAAAGAAGGGTGTATCTAAAGCAACAAACATCTGGTTGAATGTTGATAATTCACTAACCAACAGAAAGGGTTGAAATCAAGCAATATTTGGGGATTCCCCGAATCCAATTCCCATCATTCCAGTGACGTCACGTCGGTCATGATCAAATTCATCCAGCAACATGAAGGTACAAAGATCTACCCTCTGGTAAACTAACATAGCTATTGAAAATGGCCATTTATAGCGAGTTTTCCCATTAAAAATGGTGATTTTCCATAGTTATTATTATGTTAGTTTACCAGAGGGTACAAGTGAACAAACAAAGTTAGCGACTGGATTGGAATGAAAAACCATCCCCAACGGCCCAACATTTTTTTATGGGTAGGATTGAAACGGTGTTCATATGGTAGGTGGATTGGCGATTTACCACTTTCCATAGATAGATTATCAGAAAAAAAGCCTCAATGAAGCAAATGTGATTTGACTGTCATCTTTGGATTTGCTTTTCAAAAGCACACAAAACTCTTCTTTGTTCCTACAGGTTTCACATTTCTAGTGGATTTCATATTCGGAAATAAGTGTGTTCAGCAATCCAGGTATCTCAACCATGTTTGTCAAACAAAAGTATCTCATTTACGATTTACACATAATTTCATCCATTGACCTTCCGGAAGGGCCCCCACACTTTGACATTAATTTATTAAACCATCCTACTGTAGATATATCCACCATAGATCATAGATCCAAATCTTAGCCTGTAAACCGTAGATTATAAACCACAACAGCTGATCATATATCCTCTACAAATACCCATGTTTAAGTGCTAAATCCAACATGTGTTGCTTCTATTCAGTCAGTATAAATCCACATCTTTCCTGGTTAATTCATCTTAAATCCCCATTATTTTGTCGCTTGATTCTCAAAATATGCCTGCAATTATGGCCATTTAATTACCAGTTATAAGTACTAAGTCACACCATTTGTGGAATATATAATCCCATTTACAACCAGTTATAACTCATAGCCATGGCCAGCCATCACTGTGTCAATCCCAAACCGTTCAACCCCCCCAGGTCACGAAAAACGGCCAGGTGACGGCAAGTCTCGCGGTTCCTTCGTTTCGAAGTCATAGATGGTCATCAATTGCTGCTGCAAACGTTCCCAGACCTGTCGACAACGCGACACGACAAAAAGCTCGGTCGGAATCGTTTTTTGTCGAAATACCCCAGTTAGATGAATGGGTTCAAAAGAACGGGATTATAAACATGTTAAAAAAACTGGATATTATTTACCTGAGATGCACATGTTTCAGAAAGCTATGGTGGGGCCAGGGAGAAAAAAAGGGGAGAGTACTATGGCTTAACCATCCTGAAATGTGTACTAATGAATTTTAGATGAACAATGTTCACAACCCTGAAAATCCGGGGCCCCAAACGATAACTACGTTGGTTTATTAAGCAAACGATGGTTTCTGGTAGATATATCAATAGATTTCATGTGGTGATTTTAACCAACAAAACTTCACAGCTTCAAGTAGGTCAAGTAGGGTTGGTAAATACTGGGTATGGATCAAAACTAGGTACCCATACAAGGTGATGCCACCCCAGTCATAAGTTGGTTTATAACCATAATAAGTATAGATATATCTACCATAAACCATAGTGAAATTGGAGTTATGTTCACCAACTTAGCTAAAATTAGGGGGCTCCACTTTGTATGTTTTAACTATGGTTTAACTATGGTTTTTAATGGTATAATAATGGGATAATATTGGGATAACAAAAAGAAATGGTGACTCATTAGAATAACCAACTAATCTGCCATCCCCCGGTACTGAATATTTGACCCCCTGACGTTCAGCTGAAATCGAAGTATATCCAATGTATATCCCTACAAGGTTAACGGGCCCACAAACGAAAGCTACATTTGATTAAATGGTTTAACATTTGGTTAACGTTTGGGTTGATTAGGGGGATATAACGCACTAGTTTTTTTTAGGCTTATGAAGCAACAAACAAAATGTTGGGGCAGCACCTGGTACGAAATGGCTAATACGAATTCCCAGTACACCAGGCGCAAGGTGGTGTCCCAGTTCGATAGCTGTTCCTTGGTTTGCAACCAACAGCACTGTTCGTTGGTTTGCAACCAAAAACACTATAGTGTTAACGGTAAATATCTCTAAATTAAAGTTCATTGTAACACTATATATAGATATATCTAAAGTTCATTGTAACACAATATATAGATATATCTAAAGTTCAATGTAACACAATATATAGATATATCTAAAGTTCATTGTAACACTATATATAGATATATTTAAAGTTCATCGTAACACAATATATAGATATATCTAAAGTTCATTGTAACACAATATATAGATATATCTAAAGAATCTAAAGTTCAATGTAACACAATATATAGATATATCTAAAGTTCAATGTAACACAATATATAGATATATCGAAAGTTCATTGTAACACAATATATAGATATATCGAAAGTTCATTGTAACACAACATATCTAAAGTTCATTAAATATCTCTAAGCCAACTTGTAGCATTTTGTAACTTGCGGAGCACCACCGTCTATCATTTATGATTCAAGCTGGTTTCAGCCCAGCTGGTTAAACCACATTCATCAATTGAGCAGTGTTAACTTCCATGAGTAAGGATACGCCCCTGAAAAAAAAAACAAGAAGTAACATGAGACCCCCAGAAACAAGTCTGAAAAATGTTTTCAAGTTAGAAGTTTGTGATGTTGTGTGGTTCCATGCTTGATTTCTGGTGGTAAAACTGACAAATAAACCAAGACACAATTGAAACTCATGCGGCATGAGCATCAACTGCAACTATTTGAGCCAGAAAACATGTCAAATTTTCGAGATGTCATCGTACAGAAAACACCTACAAAGTGGAGTCATCCCTTTGCGTGTTTACTTTATACCTGCATCTACCTTGTTCGAAATATCTTTCAAACACACAACAGTTCAGCGAGTTACAAACCTACCCAATATGTCTACTTGATCCTAGTGATGTTTGTTGGTTGATCATTACCCCATCCAACTATAATTAATCATCCTGAAGTGGAATGTTCAAAGATATTCCCATGTTAGAGGATGACTATAGTTCGATATGCCCTCCGGTAATCAAACTTTGGAATGGACAATCGCGTATTCTGTTGGGTATAGGGGATTTTCCAGCCAGTCACGTTTGATCACCAGAGGGTAAATCCAGAATTGTCCCAATAATGTATCATTATCATTCTATTATACTATTGGGACAATTATAAATTATTGGGACAATGATATATCATGTATATATCCCCATTCTTGGATTTCCTATTTTATATCCATCCAGTATCTATCATTATCCCTAATTATATTCCTATAAATCCCCATTATTGATGGTTAATCCATGATATTCCAATCCAATCACATTCCCATGGTTAACAGTAACAACTTATTATTATTCCAATCCAATCACATTCCAATTTTTAACAACTTATTATTGGGTATTCCGGTATTCCCACTAACATTCTTCATTACTCTATATCATTCTTCTATCTCCATTCTACCTCCATTGCTCTTGGATGGACCCCAATTTTGTTCATCAAAGCCATGGTATGCCCATCATATTCCCATTATTAACAATTATTCATATTAATGGGAATAATAAGTAATGATTGCTAATGATAGTAATGGTTCTTAATATGATAGGAATATAGTGCTTTACTATCATTATTAACCATTAGTAATGGTTCTTAATCAGTAAGCACTATATTCATCTATATTCGCCATTTATGATCCAGAGTTCTCCAAATCGTTCCATCTCCCATTGATTACCCACCATGAGATCGCGGCCTTTTGTGGATCACTAGGACTCAGATCCTTCGCCACCAAGCTCTTGATTGATAGCACCACCTGGGCCGCCAAGACTGGAGAGTCTCGAAGAGGATATGCCATGATTTACAGAGATGATTATCAAAGGATAGTGAATTACGGTGGTTTTGAAGTGATGTATATAGAGATTAGTACGGAATCTATAGTACTTGATGGAAAATTACAGTGATTGACAGAGATTACTCTGGTACCAAAAGTTATTGATGGTGATTGGTGTGTAATTCATAGTGGTCAATCAACTTCACATGACATATTCGGATGTGGCCCACACATTATAAACCATCTAAACATGAGGTACAGCGCCCACAGCGCCCACATTTAAACTTCAATGGGGAACATGATTAATCACCTGATGTGAATCATTGATCATGAAAAGGTCATGGGAAGATCTTAGTGAATGGGGGTTTAACCAACCTGTACGCATCCGTAGGGTGATCACCAGCAATGTATGAAAATATCCTAAGTAAAATAGGAATCTAATACTTCTACAATGTGGGCCCCCCAGTGATGTTAGATGGTTTATAAACCCATTAACTATAGTTGTAGGTACCATAAACCATAGTGAAATTGGAGTTATAAACCAACTGAACGCTATCTGGGGGGCCCCACTTTGTAATATCTGGCTAAATTGTAATATTTCACTACCCTCTGGTAATTTAACATAGCTATGGAAATTGGCCCATTCATAGTTGATCTACCTATTATAAATGGTGATTTTCCATAGCTATGTTAGTTTACCAGAGGGTAACCTGAAAATTGCGGCCACTCATCTTCCCGGCCTCCCGGCCCATGTTGAAACTTGCGGCCATGAATGGGCATGATTCCCCCGAATCCTACCCAAGATTCCAGTGAGGTCACGATGTTAAGTCACAACACAACTCAACCAGATGATATGGGATGATATGAAAGTTTAAGACCCTGAATGAAAGTTTAACTATAACTATAACTATAACTCAAGTATAACTATAACTCAACTCTGGATGAAAGTTTAAGACCCTGAAAGGACGACGATGGTGTTGTCATTTCTTAGCAGAAAACACCGTCCAATTCTACGGGTATCCAATGATGACCCAAACCCAGCACTGTGCGATCGGGTCAAGTTACATGGTATGTGGTTTATGGTTACCCATCCCATGCCGTGGGAATCCTGATAGTGGATATATATATATATGGATAATATCCCTATTAAACTGGCCATGTCCTTAGGTGTATGCAATCTAACTTTTGAGCGACACACATGAAAGGAAGATAATGGCATATTTGAGAATAAACCCAAAATCATCCAATAATTATACGTGTTTGGGAGGATCGCTGACTTTAATAGTCGCTCTATCAACCATTTTGATAGGAAGATGAACATTTCTTCAAATGCGAATATCATGCAAATGTAATGGGACCAGCCAAATTTGGGCACTTAACCTTGAAGGTAGGACTCCAGCCATTACTTGCTAGTTCATCCCACTTCGTAACGATATTATGCAAACTCAAATCATAAGTGGAACAACACTACGTATCCAACTAACAACACCAGCAATATAAACCAAGTAGCGACTCGGATATAGAAGCCCTCTCAACTGGGATGTGGCGTTTTTTTTTTTTCCCGAGCAGTTACCCTCTGGTAAACTAACATAGCGAACTGGAAAATCACCATTTTTGGTAAATCAGCTATTTCTATGGTCATTTTCTATGTCGCAAACTGAAAACGTTTACCAAATGCTACTCCACTTTGAAGATCTTCCACCTATCAAAAGGATCTCATCCTCGGGACCCAGGGTGGTGCCGAGTGATCTGAATGTTGCTACAAAAGAACATCTGTGAAGTAGTTCGATATATCTGGGTAAATTATAGTATTTCACTAACCTGAATCAAGGCCATGAATGGGGATGATTTCCCTTACTAACCATGATTCCAGTGAGGTCGCAGTGAGGTCGCTATAATTTACCCAGATATATCTACCAAAAACCCTATAGTTGTTGGAGTTATAAACAACTGAGCTAACCAGCTAACTGAGCTGAACATGATTCTAAGATATTGTAAGGCCCCCAAGGATGGCATTCCCACTGACCCCAACAGGACAAAGTACAGGATTTTGAGTTTTTTTTTTCAGAGCTACACCAAATTCCTTCATACGAAATACACTATTTAGCTGAAGGTTTTTGCACGAAACTGAGCACGAAACCATACCTTCACCACTCCTTTGCACTTGCATTTGCTTCATGACTCCAACCAAAAAAAATTCAACAGTTTCCCTTCATCGAATCCCCATTTCATTCGTGGATTTCCCATTGGGAAAATAAGCCAAGTTGATCATCGAGCAAATCCACGTGGCAATGCATCACTATTAACCCACTATGAATCCCTAGTCATCCAACTAGGAACACGGCCTTTATCTGGCCGTGGTGTTTTTGTGATCAACGGGGTGTCATGGATGATGTTTGATGTGGTCGTGCCAATAGGATTTTGGTTGATGTGATTTCAAAGGCGAAAAAACCCTGATTCTGGTGCATAAAATCAAAATCTAGCGTTTCGCCTAGGCGAAACTATCATTTTTGATGTTTCTCAGAACTCCCCAACTAATTCGACCTGTATTGTTTTGATGTGAGTTCAAAGACAAGAAACCCCCTTATTCTGGTGCATGAAATGAAAAAACAAGTATTTCGCCTAGGCGAAAACGCATTTTTTTGTAATTCCACATGTTATGTATTGATGAAGTTGGCACAGCCTGCCAGACGACCTTGCAACCGACCTGGATTTCAACATGTTATGTATTGATGAATTTGGCACAACCTGCCAGACGACCTTGCAACGGACCTTCACTTGCGTCCACTTACCTAGCAAGTTCACATGAACGTTAACACATGCCCCACCCCACCCCACCCCACCCATGTCTACACGCACATAACGGCACACACAGAGACGAGTCCACTTACCTAGCAAGTTCACATGAACGTTAACACATGCCCCACCCCACCCCACCCCACCCATGTCTACACGCACATAACGGCACACACAGAGACGAGTCCACTTACCTAGCAAGTTCACATGAACGTTAACACATGCCCCACCCCACCCCACCCCACCCATGTCTACACGCACATAACGGCACACACAGAGACGAGTCCACTTACCTAGCAAGTTCACATGAACGTTAACACATGCCCCACCCCACCCCACCCCACCCATGTCTACACGCACATAACGGCACACACAGAGACGAGTCCACTTACCTAGCAAGTTCACATGAACGTTAACACATGCCCCACCCCACCCCACCCCCCCACCCCACCCCCCCAATGTGCACGAAAACGCACGGCCAGATAAAGGCCGTGCTCCAACTATTACCCCACTAGTCATGGCAATTCATCACTATTAACATCTATTACCCTCTGGTAAACTAACATAATTATGGAAAATCACCATTTTTAATGGGAAAACTATAAATGGCCATTTTCAATAGCTATGTTAAATTACCAGAGGGTAATCACTATTAATCTGTTATTAATCCCCTATTAATCCACTATTAATAGACTATTTATTGCCATGAATAGTGGGTTTTCTCGTGGGACGAACATGGCCACTCATCCCGTGACATCCCTTCGACAACTCATTCGGTAAACATCCGCCATCTGCAAGTCGAAGGGACCAAATGAGTTGTGAAGATCCAGTGTTTCCTGAGATGAAAAACAGCAGAACAAATCAAGAAACACGGCTGGATTTTTCACGAAAAATGGAGGTTTTGTTTAGGTTTTGTCATAAAACATCTTGTTACAACTGGAAGTTTTTTCGGTTTTCCATTCTCATGTTTGATTTTCCGCAGGGTAAGTTGTGGTTTCAATTGGTTTCTAAAAAATGTCACTGGGTTTTCTGGTGTCACTGGTGAATACATGCCATCCAAGAACGGTAAATCATAAGGCTGTGGATCATCCCTCCTTTATATATGGTGTAAGAGGTTTTGATCCATCACTGGATAGTAACGTCGTTTGGAACTAGTTGGCGCAACTCCCTAGACCCTCCGGTGTCATCAAACATGGCAATGACAAATCCACCATTTATTATAGATGATTTTCCCAACATTCGGGCCTTCACCATGCTTGACTGAAGAACACAATCCCTTTGCTTGGGGTATGTATCAGATACTTCTCCCACAATGTTTAGAGCACATAAAAATCACAGAAAATTGCCTCCCATTCTTCACAATTATATAATCATGTGTACATATTAGTATCTCATAATTTCTTAAAGTATTGCAAGCAGCAAGTCCCTAAATCCAGATTTCAACATTACACAAAACCAACAATTCCATCCAAGTTGTATCTGTTGCCATCCAAGTCTCTCCAAGCCGTTCCGCACAGCGCAATCCACCGCGACGTCACATTCGTCTTCATAGATCTGTTGGATCGAAAAGGACGCCTCCTGCGATCCCGCGCTATCCCGTGCCTGACCACCCCAGAAGACATCCATGGCTTTTTTACCGATGATACATGGGTCAACTGGCGCCAACATCATCATCATCACCATCATCATCATGATCATCATGATCATCATGATCATCATGATCATCATGATCATGATCATGATCATGATCATCATGATCATCATCCAATTTAAAGGGATGAACATTACAGAATATGTCATTTCGGACCAGTTAATGCAGTATGGCCATGGCCATTAGTTATAACTGGTTATTTCTGCAATTTATAGGGGATTATACATTCCATAAATGTGGTTTTGGTAGTGGTATAACTCGGGCATAAATGACCATTAGTAATAGAAATTACAGTATATCCATTTATATCCCTACCACATGGTTATAATCCATCTAGAAGTTCTATTTCGGGCCATAACTGTATCATCTATGGCTGAATTCTATGGTTTATTGTAGATATAACTATAGATAACTAAAGAATAACTATAGATAACCATAGATAACTAAAGAATAACTATAGATTAACTATAGAATAACCATAGATAACCATATGCTTCATGGCCTTGATAAACCACCTTTTCTGCTCCGCACCTCCAGTGCTTCGCTCCCTTCGTTCGTTTCACCGACCTCCAGGAGCCCGTCGCGGCGAAGGCCCAGCAGCGCCGGGGCGTCGCGGAGCTGGAAGTCGGGACGGTGCGACTTCAACGAGAGACAGCCCAGGGGAGGGATCCGCAAGCCACCTGAGGCCGGGGAATTCTGTGGAGGAGATTTGGGTAAAAAATAGATAGTAAATGGGGCTGTAACATGGTTGGAGATATGATAGCAATAACATGGTGTGTATATATATATATATTGTATCTTAAATATAGTGGCACATATTAGCACATGCTGATTATATGGTGTGAGACATGATGGCTAACTAAAATGATCGGTTGCAAGTTAGCAAGTGGACAGCAAATGTGTCTGACTGATTGTATGAAAAAACATGCTGCTTTTGATCTGAACATTCTTGAATTCCAGTGGAATTCCAACAATGGACAATGGATTCTCATAATCCACGTTATAGAATATAGAGGGATATATATAACTTCCACAGAGTGGTGCCCAGTGATGTGAATGTTGGTGAATTTGTTTCCCAGTAGCCGGCTTAACGAGTTGAGTTGTTTTTTTTTTATCCGGTGGATCACTGTGGACAAATCCTGCAGCAGTTTTCATAATTTTGTCTACTGCAGGATTCCGATGGAATTTGTTTCCGGAATTTGCAAATCAGTTTTCGGAATGTTCCATCATGTTTCATCAAATTTCCATCAAATTTTGGGGATTCCGATGAAACATGATGAAACACTCTTGATCATTGGATTATTTCATGGGATGTTCTATTCTGGTTGGTGGTTGAGCCACCCCTCTGAAAAATATGAGTTCTTCAATGGGAAGGATGACATCCCATATATTTTCTGGAAAATAAAACTGTTTGAAACCACCAACCAGTATATCATTATCATTCTATTATTATCCCCAATTATATTCCTATAAATCCCCATTATTGATGATTAATCCATGATATTCCACCTATATGAGTTGCTGCAGGATTTCGCAACCATCCACAGTAGACCATGGTGGAAAAAACCACAGGTTATGGTCAGAGGTCTTGTTTTTAACCCCATGAATACTAGAAATATACTAGTTCGTTATATACTAGTTCGTGAAATATCCACCATAAACCGTAGATTTCAGCCACAACCATGTTCGGCAACTGAACACGAGCTCGAACGGGGGACCCATCCTGTACAAGAGGACTGCAATTGTGTTTACATCCGGGGTTTCCTGCACATGGGAATGTCTCAATCCATGGTCAATCTTTGGCAGTCCACAAAAAACCTTTGCTGGTCATGTTTTTTTTCCATTTAGTTCAAAAAACTCAAGGATTGAACTACCTACCTGAGGTTGGGGGTGAAACTTCGGGTGCACCAAACTTCACATTTTTTTAATATTAAGATCGAAGGCCCTTTTTGGCACCACTATTTTGAGGGACATCCCCACATGATCCCTAAACCAATTCCGTCAGGCTTGTGCACTTGGAAAGAGTTCGAACTGTATGTTCAGTGTTTGGTGGAATGCCCAGAATCTACAGGTTTTTGCCACAAGTGGCAACTTTGAGTGAACCGAAACCATCCAAAAAGAAACTTGACACAATTTTTCTTGGTTTGTAAATCATCTATACATGGGCCATCGCTTCCACTATCAGATTACCACAGGCTAGTCGTAATCAAAACACCATGCGCCCTTTTCGGTGGTACCTTTGAACTATCAAAGAATCTCATTTCATCGTCATGATGTGCTCAAATGTCGTTCATCGATGCACCCACATGTTCTAGACAACAATGGGCACCTGGGCTTTCAGCTTTGGATGCTCCTGGGTCATCCTAGATCGCAAGTAGATGTACCCTCTAGTAAACAGCCACATAACTATGGAACATCACCATGTTTAATGGGAAAACTCACTATTTCTATGGCAATTTTTTTCATAGCAACCTGTAAACGTTTACCAGACGGTAATTTGGCCTCTTCAACCTGATCCTTCCCAGCTCAACTTCCTAGGAATTCGGCGGCAAGGAGCTCAAGGATGACGGCGGCAAAAACATCAGTGTGGTTCTGATGTGCTCCTCAATCTTCAAGGCCGTATTCCTGACCGAGCTGCGGTGCTGTGGAGCTTTTGAAACAGATGATGTTTGGGACAAGCCTAATACAGTGATGGCTGGCCATGGCTATGAAAGTTATAACTGGTTATTTCAATGGTGATGAATAGTGATTGATAATGGTTAATAGTGGCTAAACATGTGATTAATGATGGTTATAACTTTAACTGGTTATTTCAATGGGATTATACATGAACCATAAATGGGATTTTGTTAGTACATATAAATGCTATTCCGGGCCATAACTGTATCCAAATATCATATCGCATAGTTAGGGAAATGGACATCCATTATTAGCTATGTTTTTTGGGGCCCCCAAACGATAGCGTTCATACCATGCGGGATCCCATGCTCAATGGGAATTCTCCCATCATTTTCCCTCTTCAGGTACCTGAATTGGAGGTACCTACCATATATATATATATATATAAGGCCTGTGTAAGGGCTATGTAAGGGGATATACACCCAAAATATAGCTTTATATGGGAAGGCCAGGCTCCTAAAATGGACGTACTGTACCATATAAGGCCATATTAGGACTGAAAAATAGGCCGTATATATGGTAGGTACCCCCAATTTAGGTTCCTGAAATGGCTATGGATCATGGGTATACAAGCCAATGTTTGTGACACATTTATACAATAATATTATATATATGTAGACATAGCAACCCAAAAAAACAATAAGTTGGAAACACATCACCGAACTACCATGCTGGAAATACTGTTCTGTCCTTTTTGTAAACATATATATATATATGTATATATATAATATATATATATACATACATGTGTATATATAGATACAGTATACATTTATAAATGACATAACAACCTCACGTTGCGACATCGCTGGAGTGATACTTAGGAGGATAACTTCTCGAAATGGCCTTATCATATAGGAGAAACCAATATACAAACGATCTCTATCATAAAAATATATATATATATATATCATTTATACATTCTATATATACATAATATATATATATATACGTATGTATATTACATACTTTTTACATTATATACACACTACTATTATTATATATGTATATATATATGTATATATATATATATATATGCACATACGTGGATTTGTTTGAGGAACCCCAACGAAGAAAAACACTGAACATATTCCCTAGAGGTTTCCCAGCTTTCTGAATTTCGCATTGGGAAAAATTATCAAGTCATCGATTCAGCAAAATCAAGATAATCAAGTCACTATTAACCAGGTTTTTTCATGAACAAAACTTGTATTTGCTGAAGAAGTTCAATAAAAAACACTACTCCTAGTAGTTTTCCTCAATTATGTTAGTAGATTCCCAATTTCTGGCACCTTAACCAATGAGAAAGTAAACATATTCAGCGAGTTCAAGATACTCACTACATAATCACTATAAACATCACTATAAAAAATGGCAATCGTTGTTTATAGCCAATCACTATTATTACTCACTATTTTTGCTTCAGGATTAAACACATTAATTAATCAAATAGGATTTTACTCCCCATGACTAAAATTAAACACTGATCCACTGATTCACTGATTATCATCCAATTCTTCATCAAATCCACAAGGTGGTGCCCCGCCAGTGATGTGAACGTTGGTTTATAAACCAAAGTAAGTAGTTCGATATATCTACCATAAACCATAGTGAAATTGGAGTTATATAAACCAACTGAACGCTAACGAACTGGGGCACCACCTTGTAATCAAGAATAGTGATTAATTCAATATTTTTCAATGTAATCAAGAATTCTTCTGGAAATGCCAAAGTCAATGGTTTAAAGACACCAGGCACGGAAAACATCAACGCTTGCACGAGGCTCCCAAAATGTTCTTCGCGCTTCTGTTGAGGCTTGGCACCTGGCCCAGGTTGAGTTCCATCGCTTCGATGTCTTCGACTTTTGAATTCACTGGGGGGTCATGATGAGAGAATAAAGTGGTAATAGAGTGATAATATATAAATATTACTCATTACCACTTACTAATAACAGTGGGTAATAATGTGGGGTTCATTATATTAATTACTCATTACCACTTCATAAGTGGTAATCATAAGTGGTAATGAGTAATATAATGAGATAATCAGATGAGATTGACCACTGGCTATGGTAATTAGTGGTAATAAGTGGTTAATATGTTGGTATTAATGATAACTCATAGTTTCTTACGGGGTTGATTATTTGGAATCTATGATTCTATGGAAATATTTTCTGGGATAACCATGGCTAATACATTGACAAAATGGTGATGAGTGGTCGATAAGGATTACCAATGGATAACAACTAACTTGTTTTCACTGTGGAAAACAAACTGGAGAGGTGTCCGAACTCACGCGGCTTGAAAATCTCCGAACTCACAGGAATATTTTAATATGATCTTTAATGGGAAACACATTGAAGCATTGCTGGTGGATTTTCCAGCAAGCCAGGTTTGATGACACCGGAGGGTAACCCCAAAGAATGGGTATTTTTCACCAAGCTGGGGCGGATTATTTCATGGAATAAATGGGGAAACTTGGGATGTAATTGGGAAGAATGAACATGTCATAAGCAACAAACATATGCAAACATTGTGATTTAAGTGACAGAAATTAGGATTCACGCATCAAACACGGTGATTTCACTGACACGTCTGAGGATAAAAGCCAAAACCATTGGGATTCATAAGACTGAATGTGAAGTGTGAATGCGCCTGCCAATCTTGGATACAAATCACCCGAAACTCTAAACTCTGAGTGCACTCGTCCCATCATGTTCTGAAAGAAGAACTCTTAATCTCTGGCAAAAATAAAGGAAAGGCAATTTTCATCACCATTAAAAAAAAAAACACAGATTTCACCAACTTCTGGCCATGGCTAGTTCACCAATTCGCAAACTGTAAGTGAAGTTCCCTCAACATCTCTAACGTGCTTTCGTTTCGGTCGCGGGCCTTTCTGACATGGAATAAAAGTGTAGTGAGGCCAGTCGCCCTTGTAACCCTTGTTGTCATGTACTCGCACCTGGGCTACAAAGATCTGACATGCTACCGCGACATTTTTTTGCAAAAAAAACACAACCGGGGAAAATGGGGCGAACATTTTAACATTTTTGGGCGTATCTGGTTCTGAACAAAATCTGACATGAATTTTCATTGAGAACTAACAGCAGCTTCCAACATGGGAGGGAGATCCCCTTGAACATGGAGCCGTGACAAGGTGGGTGTCCAGAACTCCAGAAGAACAGATCTATTGGAAATCTACTATAAATACCATGGGAAACGAAGGGAAAATCATATATAATTTATGGGAAACCATGGGAAACCATGGAAAAACATGGAAAACATATCCTGTTCGTGGAGGTTTCAATAGGAACATCATACGTACAATTTGTAGATGTTCCAGCCAGCCACCTTTGATTACCAGAAGGTAAACAGAAATCCACAAACCAGTTCTGCTTCAAAACTGTTTTTTTCGGAGGTTTAAGAACTGCAACATTGCCAACTGCACAAACAAATGATAAGAGGGGGAGCCTTCTGGTTAATCCAAACAACCCCAAAATCCATGGTGTAGTACAGGATTTACACTTCTTTAGGACCATTGATAGGGGGTGTTTAATATTAGGCGACATTAATAGGGAGTGCCATACAAGATGATTTGAAACCTAGTATAGTTCCAGATCGCACCAAGCAATTCATCTCCAAACCTAGGATTTACACGTTTAGGTTCGACTAAACTGAAGTGTTTTACTAGTCCGCAAGGATTTCTGACTTCTGAGAGTTCCCAAAACATGGGTCTAGTCTAGTGACCAACCATAATTTATCAACTATATTATTTCCCCATTTTATTCGTGGCTAAAAACCATATCTTTGAACGTAAAATCGCTATTTTGCGATGGTTACAATCCGGTAATCAAACGTGACATTGGAAATTCCCACCATTTACAGATGACTTTGCCACTAAAACCTCTATGTATAGGGGATTTCCCATTGCGATGTTTGATTACCAGAGAGGACTCAGATGTGTGGTATATGGTCAAAATAACAACATGCCATGGAAAATCACAATTTTTGCTGGGCCCACCATCTATAAATGGGCCATTTTCCATAGCTACTGTTGATAGAACAAATCCCGCACCAGCTGATAGCTGGTTTATCCCATTCTTTATAATGGTGCACAATTTCTTCCACGAGCATGTTAAACAACCAAAGGGTAACCCAGCCATGGCACGATTGACCGCTGCTTTATGAAGTTGTCCGCGGCTTTCTTGGCTTCTGCTTCGTCCACGGATCGATTGTATCTGCCAGCGGAACCACGGACTGCAACAGGGGCCCGGGGCCCCGTTTGCCCAAAGGAACATAGGGATCTATCCATGGAAAATGAAGGAAAATGAGGATTTAACCAACAACAATTGGATTGATACTTACATTTTACTAGCTAAGTTGGTGAACATAACTTAGTTACCGTTTGGGTTCCGGGGGGATATCACTATAGTTTATATGGTGAAACTAAACCAAACTTGGAGGATCGCCACACGGATCGTAACTGGTTAGTAACTTTGTTCACCTACTTACAAGTGGGACAGCCCCACTTAGAATACTTACAGGATGGTGCCCCCCAGCTATAAGTTGGTTTAGTAACCCCATGAATACTATAGTTATCCATAGTTCTATCATGTTATATCTACCATAAACCATAGAATTCATCCACTTATATGTCAACTGAACGCAACAATGAACGGGGGCACCATCCTGTACTAACCAGGGCCATGGGTCGCCACTTACGTTTTTTTCGTTTTCATGATCCTCCAGGAGGGTATCCGAAATGCTTTGAACCACCATGTGCTGTAATAAAATTGTTTCAAACCATATGAAATTATATATAAATTGATATATGATTGATATGTATTGATATATATATATAAATAATTATATATATATACATAAATTGATATGCTGATATGACATGGTAATATCATTTGCAGTATTATTGTTTTGTTTCAATGATAATATTATCTCTAACTATGCTTAATCTCTATTTTTATGGTTGGTTATATGCATATGTTTTTTGATGCTTGTCTAATGACTGGATGGTTTGGGTGTATCCCAATGCCTTAGGACACCTCCAGATAGAGTTGTGGCGCCCCTGAGTTGTAAGTTGGCTTACAACCCCAAGTAGACTATGATTCATCCACAGGTATAATTCGGTAGAATCACCATCAATCCCAGTTAGCCTACAGTGAAATTGCCATTTATAGCTGGCGATTATACATAAACCATATATTTATGGGGTTTAATGGTGATTAATAGTGGCTTAGTGGTGATTTTCATAGTGGTTGAATGGTGATTTTCATAGTGGTTGATAATGGTTAATAGTGGCTAAACATGTGATGGCTATGATGGTTATAACTGGTTTCCATGGGATGATACACGCACTCCATTTTTATGGGGTGACTTCTTAGTACGGCCATAACTGCTATTCCGGGCCATAACTATAGTCATTCATGGGATCATGGGAATATGAAGGGAATATCCATGGGATTAACCACCAGCAATAGTGATTTATGGAAGAACCATATTCTATAATATGGCCACTGTAGTTCTAAACCAAAACAAACAAACTGGGCCACCACCTTGTAAGGTTGGCACCATGACTGGGCCACCTTGGGATCCTTGGTGCTTCGGGTTTAACCAATTTAATCATCAACAAATGGGATGTCCTGGGTACATGCAGTTTTTTGGGTATAGAACCAAACATGTTTGGTTGGATGATATGGTTTATATCATATCCCCAATTAACATGTTTGGTTCTATAACCATTATTATGTGGCTTATATCATATCCCCAGAACATATCATCTTATTTTCAATGGATGATATGGTTTATTAAAACCGATAGTTTTGGGGATTTCATCCATATAGGCCATGTAGAAAAACCCAATGATGATATGCGCCTGGTGTTGAAAAACACCAAGTTCTCGTATTTTGAATCCTTGAAATGGGGTGATGTATTCAAAGCCACAGTTTTGGCTGGTTGGTGGTGCAATAACCATCTTGAAAAATGATGGAGTTCGTCAATGGGAAGGATGACATCCCATGTATGAAATGGAAAATAAACTTCATGTTTGAAACCACCAAGCAGTATATCATTATCATTCTATTAGTATCCCCAATTATATTCCTATAAATCCCCATTATTGATGGGTATTCCGGTATTCCCACTAATATTCTTCGTTATTGTAATTATATCATTATTTTATCTCCATTCTACCTCCATTGCTCTTGGGGATTCCCATTTTAAGAAGCCCCGAAATCGTCCTCTCTTGTGAATTCTGTTGTGAGCACTTCTTCCCTCATGATCTCATGACTGATACGTTTGGTGGTGCCCCCCAGTGATGTGAACGTTGGTGTTTTCACCCCATGAATACTACCCTCTGGTAAACTAACATAGCTATGGAAAATCACCATTTTCATTGGGTAAATCCACTATAAATGGGCCATGTTCAATAGCTCTGTTAAATTACCAGAGGGTATAGACTATAGATATATCTACCATATCTACCATAAACCCATGAATACTATAGATATCTATAGATATATCAACAATAAACCAATATAAAACGTAGGTAAGCTAGCTAATGAACCAACTTAGCTGTCATTTGGGGCACCGCATTGTAGGGATTCGAAGGCCACGTGTTCTCAATAAATCCGACTGAGTTCAAAATCATTTGTCATGCCATGAAGTACTGCTTAAGAACGGGATTCGCAGTACATGACAATCCAAAATCATATATTAGGCTATTTCATCGTCAAACCAATCCTCAACCAACAGGGATTTGGCAGCCACTACAGCACTTTTCATTTGAGAATTGTCCACAAACTTCCACAAAAAGCATCTGGTAATGAAACATGCATTTTAGCTAATTCCCCATGTATAGATGATTTTCCCATTAAAACCATTAAGCACCCTCCATTTATAGAGGATTTCCATTTGCCACCTTTGCGGGAGAGGAGAGTACCTTTGATTCGCCTTTTGGCAGCTGCTGTGATCAGCAGCTCCCGTTGCTCATCACTTTGTAGAAGGGTCAAACTGCACTGTGTCAACAAATCCGATTATGAACAGAATGATGTGCGTATATAGTACATATCCACATTATAGTACATGAACATTACTATTTTATCCACTGAACATCATTGAAATGTACTATAATGTGGGTAAAACAGCAATAAACCATCCCCCAAATCACCATATATAGGTGGTATAAACATTCCCAAATGGTTGGTTTGTGGCATTGTTTTACCCACATTATACACATTTCATGGTTCTTTTCGCAGTTACAGCCCAACAATGCCCAACTATTCCAGATCCCAACAGATCGACCAAATTCATCTAATCAATGGGAGTTCCAGGATTCTAGAGTGGAGGTACTGTACCATATAAGGCCTTATTTTGTAGGGAAATTCCCTTACATAGGCTTAAAAAATAGGCCTTATATACGGTGGGTACCTCCAATCATTCGGTTCCTGAAATGGCCAAATTCATCCAAGTCTCATGCATTTCTCCGGTACGATATCATCCACGCACGTGATGGGATTCAAGATATGCACCACCTCCGGTTGCGCTGAACCGGCTGCGCTGTTCGGCTTCGGCTGCGCTGAGCCGCCTTCATCGGCGGTCTTGAGACGATCCACGGTGTTGGGCTTCGGACGCTCGCGAATGGTGAGATCCTTTTGAGTGCCTCAGGGCTGTGGATGGGTCAAAGTTGAGGTTGCTTTTTTAGCCTTGGTTTCCGAAGTCATAGGGGTACCCCCAAATCATCCCTTTATGGATGGATGTTCCATTATAACCATCCATTTTGGGGTATCTTTATAAAGGAAACCGCCATATATATATAGATATATAATGATATATAGAGATATATTAGGAAACCGCCATTTAGATATATCTACAATGAACATCAATAAACCCGAGTTATTGGAGCTATAACCCAACTTCGCGAAGTCTAAGTCTGGAGCCTTGGCCGCAACCATCGTCACACGGGACTAGCACTGGATTACTGATGGTCATCCCATGCCAATATGGGAATCCCTTTATTGATGAATAGGTAAACCATCTATAAATTGGCCATCTATACCATGGCTATGTTAAATAACCAGAGGGTAATAGTTCATGAGTATTTACCCTGTGGTTATCTAACATAGCCATGGTATAGATGGCCCATAGAAATAGATGATTTTCCCAGCTATAAACCTCCATTTATAAGGGATTTTCCATGGCTATGTTAAATAACCAGATGGTATATCAAATCCTATGGACTGTTGATCATCCCGCGATATGGGTTTATAATTAAACTCTTGACCTTGCACATATGTGGATCAACCTATTTTTGGGAGGACATACAGGGAATTTTTTTTGCTTCGGAGATGGGAATTGTTCCAAGAACAACTGCTATAAATCATGAATTATATACCTCCGGTAATTTATTATGTGGCTAGCTGGAAAATCCATCAAAGATGTAGGTTTCTAGCTCGGAAAATCATCGAACCAAATGGTGGCTTGTCTAATTGCAATGTTTGATTACCAGAAGGTATTCATTGTATTCACATGATATTCCCCATCTGTTCAGAGTATATAGTATATCCCCATTCATTGTTGCTTATACCCCCATGATATTCCCATTATATCCCCATAACAAGAGGGTCTTTCATATTGGGGTGAAGGGATTCTGTTCCACATTCCCACTACATATTACCATTATGTTGCCACTATATTCCCAATGGATGGTTGGTTAATAGGGTTTATCAATGGCCATTCCAGGATCCTAAATTGGAGGTACCTACCATATATAAGGCATATAAGGCCTATGTAAGGGAATATCCCCACGAAATATGGCCTTATATGGTACAGTACCTCCATTTTAGGATCCTGGAATTCCCATTGAGTTTAGTGAATTCCCATGTTCGAATACAGGAGGGTCGCCCAGGTCATTACTTGCCGACAAACCAACTTACCCCAACAGGGTCTGGGGATCACCCACAAATATCACAAATATCGCACATATCACAAATCCAGGCCCTGCTTTAAAAAATGCTGGAAATAAAAGAGAGGCAGAAATTCATGACGTGGTAGGTTAAAAACCATTCAAAACCTTTCTACCTCAGTGAACATGCTAAAAAAGCAGGATGTTAACTGGCTTCCGCCACCTGTCAAGCACCGAAAAGGGTTTTTCCCTAACAACCAACTCTATATACAATCCGCTGGCCATTTGAAATGCAAAGGGCATAAGCATTCAATGATGTTCTTTATTCAAACGGCCATCAATTGGAGGTATACCCAATTCAAGAGACACCAAAGCATTGCATTGTTGGCTATATACATACATACATATGTATGGGTATAGTGTACTTGGGTTAGCAGGTTACTTGAGTCTGTATCTTGGGTATACAATACAATATATTTGATACCAGACACCTTGGTTATATTGTTAGACATCTCAAGGTATCAAACCCAAGTGGTTCCTACTCACCACAGATCTCAACTTCACTTGCAAGGTGGTGCTCCCCAGTCATGCTTGTTGCTTGTCCCGTTCACCGTAGGTCGAAATATCTACCAAGAAGCCTATGCCAGTTACAAACCAAGTATGACCCAAAATCTTGTATATACATATTTATATATACATATTTATATATACATATTTATATATACATATTTATATATACATATATATATATATACATACATACATACATACATATATATAATATATATACATACACACATATATATATATGTATATGTGTATATATATACACATCAAACCAATGACCTGGGGATATCACCCTAGGTATCCCAAAAAAACGATCTCCCACAGTTCATCCCATGAAAAATCACCAAGTGAAAAACCAGCTAGAAGGTGGGTCTGCTTAGCGAAGTTGCTTTACAACTAGCTTAACTATCGTTTATGGTCAATATATGTATATATATATATACCAATATAGATATAGATATAGATCAAGTGCTTTACAAACCAACAAACTTAGAATTCGGGAAGCGCTCACCTTTTAATCATGAACCCCATTTATGGTTAACAAATCCCTATCAATCACCACAAAATCCCAACTAAATCCCTATCAAATCCCTTCAAATCCTTATCAAATCCCTTCGAATCCCATAAAATCACCATAAATCACAATTTTCCCATTCAAATCACATCAAGTTCTATGAAAATCCGAAAAAAAATCTAGTAAATCACCATGTTCCCATGCTGCCCAGGTGCCCGAGGACATCCAGTACCCACTCGGATGCAACCGCCCCGTGCCCGGCGAGGGCCAGGGCGGCGTGCCCACCTTGGCGCCTGACGTGGCAAGGCGCGCGAAGTCCTACGGTTTATGGTGGATTTGATCTTATCAATTTATATCAGTTAATACACTGGTTGGTTAATATACTGTTAATACACTGTTAATAATGGTAAATATATGGCTATTATATGGTTACTATTAATGTTTTTTTTTTTTTTTATGGTTAATGATGGTTAATAATAATCTGGTTGGTGGTTTCAACCTACCCCTCTGAAAAATGATGGACTTCGTCAGTTGGAATGATGACATTCCCAATATATGGAAAAATATAATTCATGTTCCAAACCACCAAGCAGTATAGTATTCATGGAGGTTTATAAATCTCATTAACTATAACATTATCAAACCAATTATAGCTACCGGGTTTTTTGCCCCCCCGATGTGATGTGAATGTTGGTTTATAAAGCTTCAATAAGCCGGCAAAATAGGCCCGTATATCATGATGGTTGAATCCCCATTCGGATATAGTGGGATGATGTTTTTGTCAACCCCATGAATACTAGTTCGTTGTATCTGCCATAAACCATAGATTTTTTCGCCATTGATGTTCGGCATTTCTGAATGCGAGCTCGAACGGGGGCACCTTCTTGTATGATTGATGGATATTATTTATAATATTCATGGAATTAGTTTGTAATTTTCATTAACTGAAGGTGATGATAGTTACAATATATTGATTACCTGAAGGTGATTATATTGATTTCATTAACTGAAGATAATTTTCATGAAGTGAAATTGAGTTACAATATATTGATTTATAAACCCAACCAAATGCATCCACAATACCTGCCATATACATCCACAAATCAGTTTTTATCTTTCAAAAGTGGAACTGGATGTGGTTGGCCTTTGGTAAACTAACATACAGGGTGGGGCCCCCAAGATAGCGTTCAGTTGGTTTATAAGTGGCTTAACAATGGTTTATGGTAGATATAACTATAGTTATGGGGATTATAATGGTTTATAAACCAACTTACAACTGGGGGGCCCCATCCTGTAGGGAACTGGACAATGGTCCATTTATAGACGATTTCTTACGTATTAAACACGTTGATTTTCCATAGCTATGTTCCATTTATGGTAAAACCCCGCCACAAATGGCACATCGACACTGTTTAAAAAAAACAACGCACCTGGCGATTTCGCGACCCTCGCAAGAAACGCCTCCGGGGAAGTGCCTGAGAGAGGCACAGCCTGTGATTGTGGAATATGGGAAGTTACTATTTTCACGCAATAAGTAAAAAAACTATTCCCAATTCCCATTTTAGTCGGATTCTTTGACAACTCCATCCTCTATCTACTTCAGGATGAATTACAAAGTGGGGCCCCAAACGATAGCATAGGTTTATAACTAGGGTAACTATATGGTTTATGGTAGATATATCTACATAGTTAATGGGAGTTTCAAACCAACTTTGGAGGAAAGAATTTGCAGGGCACTGGGTGGAGCGGGGCTTGGGGGGGTTTCCCACCTAGCTACATTGAACAGATATTTCTGATTAAATAGCCTGGCCTGGCAAACGTTCACTGAATCTTCTACCGGAACACATTTCACGACCCCATGTAGTTTGGTTCAACCACAACCTCTGCTATTGCAATGTAAGTTTGTTTTATGACAAGCAATGGCCAATACAGAACAGACCCATGCAAGTGAGCACTAGCAAATCCTTAGCCTTCGCTTGGGCACTTCTTGTCCTTGGGGGGCTACTTCAACAGCATGTACCTGTGAAAATCAACATGTATGAAACTGTATGTACAACCTGATCTCAGTGGCCACCTGTTTCTTTCGCAATGTTGCCTTGAAAATTCCTGCGACGAGAACCAGGCCAGTAGCATGCGAAACGCCCTTTGCCGTATTTCACAGTCGACCCCGCGCTGGGCACGCCGCGGAGAAGGCTAACGGAGGCAACACCTAGAGCATTAGCGGCAGTTGCCTTCGTCAAGATGGCAACTCACCACGGGCGTTCGAATCCTTGCCTTCATGGGGAAAGCCCTCAACTTGGGGAAGCTTGCCGTCAAGGAACGCGCGAACCACTGGGAGCAGCAAGCTGCAGCAATGCCCTCTCATTCAACCCTCATGCTCAGTCCTGTAGCTGTTTCAAGCACGGCTTGCAGAACACTACCAATTCCATTTTCATTTGCTAAGCCTGCTAAGCGGGAAATTAAAACAGGCCAGCCCTAGAAAGGCAAAGGCTACAGCAAAGAGCAAACAGGAGCAGCGGCTTGGGTGCCAAAGCTTTGCACAACCCTGGTTGAAAAAGAGCATTGCTATGATGGACCTTGACCTTTGCATGTCTCAAACGGGATCAGAACAGGGACCAGAGTCTGTTTCTGCATTGCTTCCATATTATATGCCTGGCAGACGCGTTGATGCAAGAAGCAGAACCGGATGGAATGAGGAAAACCCCATGACCTCAAGCCTTTTAGGCTTGCATGAGTGCCGATGTAGTAGAAGTAGTATTCAAGATTGCTTCATGCCGCCATCCAGTGCTGCAGGCCCTTCAGCTGAGACTTGGGAAGCACCTAGGCCCTTTCCAGAAACGAGAAAAACACTTTTTTTTGCTGTTTTTTTTAACCGTTTTTGCGTGTAATTTTTCATCGGGGCTTTGGGTGGAATGGTTTCATCGGGGCTTTGGGTGGAAATGGTTCGTTCGGGGCTTTGGGAGGAAGATTTGAATCTTGTACGAGTAAGGAGCTTGAACGGGGCATTCGGAGGAAGGCCGCCGCTAGCCCTTTGAGCGGGGCAGTGGGTGGAGCCAAGCCATCGGGGCTGTGCGAGGTGATTTCGTACGTTTTCAAAAATGAAAATTTGCACTGAAAATTGGCGCCTGGTGCTTGCAATGGCCGGAATTTATTTCATCCCCGTCTTGGTGCAGGTGCGACTGTGAGGGAATATTTAAAAGCGTACATGCCTCTTACCAGATATACATACATACATTTTCAAAATGGCAGGGTAGGCGACATAGCAGGAGGCTCCGTAGAAACCTAAAGGGCGGGTGTGTAGGCGCGGAAGCGGAAAGCTAGCAACAGTCAGCAGCGTTGCTGTTCCTTAATTATCCTCCATCTCATGGCCGAAATACATCTCTCCACGCTAAAGCTGATCTGCGCCTTGAATTTCGAGTATCCGGGTGTCATTGTTGAATCGAAGCGCGCTCCTCGTCACCCTGGCGCCGTTAGAAGGGAATGAAGACTTTGACGCCCTGAGCTCAGCAACAAACATACTGTATGTCGCCGCGGTTGCTGGTCTTTCTGCCAGCAAGAGAAGAAAGCTCCCACCCCGCACTGGGAAAGGAGGAAGGCTTCAGCCGGCGCCGGGAGGAGAGCCGGCGCCGGGAGGGAGACCCGACACCGGGAGCGAGACCCGGCGCCGGGAAAAAGAGAATCCTCCCAACCCGGCGCCGGGAAGGAGGAATCATTTCACCGGGAGAAGAAGAATCTTTCAAAAGAACAAATCGTCACATGCTGATGGCAAGAAATAAAGCCTTTCTCCCAGCACCTAGAAAGATAAAACTTAAAAACCTTTTCAGGGCCTCACACACGGACAACCACATGATCAATGAACATAGTATACATTTATATACTGCTGAGCTTGCCGCGCTGTCTTCTGTGTCCACTTCTGTCGGGAACAATGCCAAAAACTAGCTGGTTCATAGCCGACTCGAAGACACCCGTGGACGACGATGGCCTAATGACCCCCAAACGTTGTGTCCACCATCATTTACCTTGCACCGTCCGAGGCCTCTTCTCATTCTACACATTCCAAAAAAGTTGAAACTAAGCAGAAAAGTGAGCCTAAGGGAAGCAAGATGTGTTTTTCCCGCCCTAATTATAAATGGGCATCTGCCATGACCACGGGACAAGTACTTTCGCACATAACGGCTATTTCTTGTTTTGTATCAGTGCTCGGGTGGAAAAAGTGTGTTTCACCACCCATAGCCCTGCTACGCTGGAAGCCCTGCTGATTTGGTTCTCTGACAACTTACGACTGGGGGGCACAACCCTGTATTGAAAAGTAAATGTATAGTTTTTGGTTAATGCATCATATATAGTTATATTTTACATTATAGTTTCAACTCATTGGAAATAGCGCCGTTTTTTATGTCGAAAAAAGGTGCCGCCAGGTGAAAACTCAGATGGGTAAATCGTGCATCTGACAAGGCACAAGACATATTATATATATTTTATTATTATAGACGAGGGTATGTCAAGGGTTAGTAATATAGTCAAAACGTAGATACAGTCATGTAGCTATGCTGTAAATAAATAAATAAATATATATATATATATCCATGTAGCTGTGTTTGGTTAACACATATAGCTTTAGTACTGGTTTGGTAGTCTTGTCACACTGACAAAGATAGATTGCATGCTAATCTCATCCAATCTCCAGCTTAGAAACCAACTCAAAAGACTAGATAGGTAAGTTGGTGCAGAAGTTGGTCTATCATTCAATTTCCTTCAAGGGGGGGAGTTTACTAACCAAGTATCCTTAAGTGGGATAAGCTTTACCATCTTGCCATCTCCCGCTCTCAATTTATCACAAACCATAGAATATGTTGTGGTTATCATAAATGGTGACTGGAATCAGTTGTTCACTAAAATTATTACAGGGTGGGGCCCCCAAGATAGCTAAGTTGGTTTATGTGTGGCTTAACAATGGTTTATGGTAGATATAACTATAGCTAATGGGGATTATTTCATGGTTTATAAACCAACGAACATAACTGGGGGCCCCATCCTGTAGTATCTATTGACATTACTATTGCTACTCTTGGTATGTTTATCACTGTCATGTGATTATCCATTAGCATCAGCACCCCTGTGATCAATCCTTGGCGATGGTGTATTCGTGTTTTTATTGAGATAAACATAATTATATAATGATTACAAGGTGGTGCCCCCCCAGTTATTAGTTGGTTTATAAACCATGGTAACTATAGATATATCTACCATAAACCCTAGATATTGGAGTTATAAACCAACTTAGCTAACTACGGGGCACCACCTTGTAATGACTAATGATGCAACTGTAACAATATCGTTCCTTTTAGTGTGACGAGTAGCACTATCCATTGCACAAAAATATAGTCTCATTTAGATTCATCTGGCATGATTACGGTTGTCAATAGTGTGATTATGTGTTCTATGATTACTGTTGTTTACGTCATTCTACTGATTATCATAGACCCATTTGCAAACCAATGATTGTCATTGTCCGTATCCCTATTGATGGAAATTCAACAAATGTAATGTATGAATGGATGCACATTAGAAACAATCAAGGCGCTCATTACCATTCTAAAGGATAATCTCAAAATGGGGATGCCATCTTTCAAACACATGCTTCATATTCTCAAAACGGCAAATAACTATGCGCCACTGAAATCAAACACGAAAAGTGTGGGTATGGGTCAAACATATTACCCCACAAAATGGATGTTTTAGTCATGTTTAATCCTGAAGATGACAAGCTTTTGGCGGGTCCTGGCTGGTGCTTGGCTGGTGCCTTATTGGTGATGTTTGTTGATTTAGTTTCACACCATGTTGATATGTACAATGTGGGGCCCTCAGTTATAAACTGCTACATAAACCCCATTAACTATAATTGTAAGTATCATAAACCATAGTTATTGGAGTTATTTGCACCAACTGAACCCAATTTCGTTTGGGGCCCCCACTTTGTATCACATATCGAATCACCATAAACCATAGAAATGGTTAACGGTTAGTTGTCTTCACTGAGATATCCTGTAAACCGAAGCCCCAACCGACTCGCCCAGGCGCAAATGGCATCCCTTCGGGGCGTCTTGGATGAAACGAAACGCTCGGGAGTTTGGGATCTCCTTCGCTTCTTCCACTCCTTCTGGCTACCTCGAGACATCTCAAGAGCGACCGGAGACCGAGGGTGGTGGCCAAGTTGCCACAAGTGAAAAGGTGAAGAGTTCGGAAATGTTGCGAAATCTTGGGTTTATGGAGGAGATATCTATATATAAACTTATAGATCATGTGTTTTATCTTCTAGATTATGGTCATTATAAGCTTAATAAATGTACTATGATGAATGGCACAATTTGGCAATGGTTTGTTGATTGAAAGTTGACATCTCCATGTTCGTTGCAGAGATTTTTTTGAGGCTCCTGAAATTGCCATTCGATGTTTTATTGGGGGGGTACTCCTCCAATAGTCACAATCTATTAAATGGTACCCTCCCAATTAAACAGCCAAAAGATTTATTAATCCAGGGTTGACATTATATCCATAATATACCATAATTTACCACTCTATATATACATATATACATATATATATAGAGAAAAACATATATCATTATATGTTTCACAATAAATTATGGTATATTATGAGTGTATATATATATATCATTATAATGTTTTTTTAAACATATGTTTTTTTTCTGAAAATGGAGATGGGTTTTACATCATTTTCCATAGATTTCACGGCCATGTTGGAGAGAGCACTCATCCCCACAGTGGGACACAGCCATACAGGATGGGGCCCCCAAGATAGTGTTCAGATATACCCTCTGGTTATGACTAACATAGCCATGGTATAGATGGCCCATAGAAATAGATGGTTTACCGTTTTTAATTTCATGGTGGATCTTTCCATGGCAAGCTGTTAAATAACCAGATGGTAACTATACTGAATGGGATTTATAAACCGGTAACATTCATTATTATAATTTATCCCATTAATCACCATTAATCAGCATCATTAACCATCATTAATCACCATTAGTCACATATATCTAAGATTAGCCATTCTTATGGGATTTATAAACCAATTTATAATCGGGGGGCACCATTCTGTAGGTTAAAGTCACATATGTTAAAGTCGGGTCTACTCCAGGAAATTTCTGGTTGCTTCGTATGTAGAAAATCACGATGGTTTATGGGTGACTGCAACTATACAAGGTGGTGCCCCCCCCAGTTATTAGTTGGTTTATAAACCATGGTAACTATAGATATATCTACCATAAACCCTAGATATTGGAGTTATAAACCAACTTAGCTAACTACGGGGCACCACCTTGTACGTTGAAGGGAAAATAAACCAACTCTTGCCCTGCCGCAAAACGAACATATGAAAACATAATGCACCGTTTGTAGATATCTTCGCTAACCAAAAAGTTATTCTATACATTACTGGCTGAAGTATAGTAATTCACCCTGAAAATGTCTGAAATGTTGGGCCATTTGGGGATGACTTCCCCGTGTTTTTTCACCTTCATTCCAGCGATGTCACAGTGACGTCGCTATAATTCATCCAGATACATCATGATTTATACCATCTGGTTATCTAACGTAGCCATGGAACATCACCATTTTTAATAGGTAAACCATCTACAAATGGGCCATTTTCCATGGCTATGTTAAATAACCAGAGGGTATATCTATTGATACTTCAATGTCGGGAAACTAAACATTTTATCATAGATCATCATTTATCTAGCAATCCAGATGGGGTCCCAAAACGATAGTTAAGTTGGTGAACATAACTTGCTAAACTGGTTGGTGGTTTCAACCCCTCTGAAAAATATGAAAGTCAGTTGGGGTTACTATTCCCAATATATGGAAAGTCAAAAAAATCATGTTCCAAACCACCAACCAGTAAAGTATTCATAAGGGGTTTAAAAACCAACAAACATAACTGGGGGGGGGCACTTTGTATGGAAACCAGTTGGTAAAACCCATGAAATCCCATCATGTAAGCCCTATGAAATCCCATTGAAGCCTATTAAATCTAACGAAATGTCTTTGAAATCCCAGTAATCATGGACAATCTTTGATAGTCCATTAAAAATATACTTTTTTGTTGGATATGTTCTATGCAAAGAAATGCATGATTAAACTATCCATTCAAGATTGGGGATGAAATGGCTATGAATGGTGTAAAAGTCATTCATGGCTATTCATGCTCAACAACTTATGCTAAAAACAATGGGTAACGATGGGTATCCCTACAACATCCTACAACTATGATTATAAGTTCGTTATCAATGGTTATTAATGTGAGTAAAGCAATAATAAACCATCCCCCAGTCATCACCATTTTCATAGGTAATTTTTTAACCATTCCCAGTCACCCTTTATGGCATTGTTTTACCCACATGAATCACTATCAATCATTTATCAATCACTATCAATCACTATTAATCCACTAGTTGGTTGACTCCACCATTTTACATTGCCAATATATTGGATACCCTGCAAAAAGAAGAAACACTTTGCCGGTGAACGTGGACAATCCCATTGATCCATTGATACCAAAAGTCTAGTTAGGATTAGTTTGTACCCATCCAAGGTTAACCTAGAAACTAGTCACAGAAAACCCTCCGGTCATCAAACATGGCTAGCTGGAAAATCCCTTAGCGAAATGGAGGCTTTGGTGGGAAATTCATCTAAAGACGGTGGATTTTCCAGGCAATTTCTGGTGGATTTCATGGCCTCGTCGAATCGCCTGAGCTTCGTCGAATCGACGGTGAAGATTCACAAAAAAATGGCGGCCATTTGGGGATGATTTCCCATAGATTGACCATGATTAACCATAGATTAACCATGATTAACCATAGATTGACCATGATTAACCATAGATTCACCATGATTCCATGTGATCTGCCATAAACTACCACCGAACTACGGTCCAGGTCAGCCATCTTCTGCTTCACTCGGCATCGCGCCTGGGTAGCTTGGCGTCGCGAGGGCAAATGGGGAGGGCCACTGGGGAAGATATGGGGAATATATGGATATACCATGGAAATATAGGGTCAATATGGGTTAATATCATGGAAATACTATTAGACTATATGATATAATTAATGGCATATATCATGGAACCATTACTGTTTTGCTAGTGTATATCATAGGGATCTAATGGGAATATATGGGGGTTTCCATAACTGAGGTACCCAAGAGCTGGATGGTTTATAAGCGAAAATCCATCTATAAATGGATGATTTGGGGGTACCCTCCATTTTAGGAAACCCACATATGGGGAATATTGGTGACTATTCTACAAGGTGAGGCCCTCCCAGTCATATGTTGGTTTATTTTCACCATATGAAGTAGTTTGTTATTTCCCTCGTAAACCCAAATGTTCAATGGGAATTTCAGGATCCTAAAATGGAGGTACTGTACCATATAAGGCCATATTTTGTTGGGATATCCCATTGCATAAGCCTTATAAAGGCCTTATGTATGGAAGGTACCTGCAATAAATCGGTTCCTGAAATGGCCATTGAAATGTTAACCAAGTTATGTTCACCAACTCAGCTATCATAAATGGGGGCCCCACCTTGCCGCTAAACACTCACCATTCTGTACAGCTGGAAACGATGGATCAAAATCTGAGTGTTCAAGTTAGAGCTATGGGGGCACGTTTTTTCAAATGCGAATATATGGGAATATGATTATGATTGAACACATTATATATATAATGTACATATAAGACATTTACTGTAGTAGTAAAGAATGCGGATATTTTCAGTGAGACTAAACCAGCAATCATGACTCCGGGGCTCCTTATTACAGAAAGGTGGGGATAGAACGAGGAGAACATCATGTACACCTGCGTTCCTATCCTTTCTCATGTTCTTCATTCCCACGATCAATCAATCCTTCCATCGTTCAGTTAAGGAAGGATTCAACTGCTTTCTCTTCCAATGTGCCAACGATGTATGGTATACTTACAACCATTTACCAACATAAAGGCACAAACAATGGTGAAATTAAGGTACGGCAAATATCAGCACCCACAATGTGGGGCCCAATGCGTGGCTCAGTTTTCGTGTATAGCTACGTTAACAATATGGCTTCTCCATCTTTATGGACGATATATATGTGGCCCCCCCAATGATGTTAGATGGTGTATACACCCCATGAAAACTATAATTATTTGCGTATCATAAACCATAGTGAAATTGGAGTTATAAACATTTATTTGCACCAACTGAACGCTATCTAAGGGGGCCCCACATTGTATATAGAGTCAATGGGGTGACAAACCGACAAATAAAACTGGGGAGGGAGCACCAGGCTACGCTGGGATTGGCATAGCATGGGTGAACACCGAGTGCTGCATTTCAAGTGCCAATCTTATATTATATACCCTGCAAAAAATGAAAACGTCAAAGCTGGTGAACGTAGATAATCCATAATTGATACCAAAAGACTAGAGGATTAGTTTCTACCCATCCAAGATTGACCTTGAACCTGTCAGATAGGTTCGCCCAAGCCCGATTCGTAGCAAAATCACATCGGTTGCCCTTTCCCAAAGGTAACTGGAAGATACTGGAAGACTAACACCAGGTTGGGAAACAAACATTGCTCCACCCTTTGTAAAACAGGTTTGTAAAGAGGTATTCCCAAAGGTGGCTTGAACTTGTCTTTAATAAACCAGCATTTTTCCCTATTTCATAACCCAGTAAAACCTTTGAAGTATATCATATGCTTGATGGATCTTGATGGTCAAAACCCGTATTCAATAGTAAAACACATTTTTTTGCAGGGTTTATATAAACCCATCAAGAAATGAATCTTGAATGGCTCAAATGCCCTGCCCAACTTGACACTACCAAGCATCTACCCAGTCCATCTTCAAGCGGTAACGTTTGTCATCCTTGGAATTTCTTCGACCAACCAGCGGAGCTGATCTAAGCAACAAAAACAAATATCTCATCAACAAAGGAAAAAGGAGTCAAACATCAAGAACAGGGATTTAGCCAAGAAAAATGATATTTCAGATGATTTAACCCGATTTAGGGACACAACAAACTCAATGGGGAATGTGAACTCAATGGATGAATAAAGGGGCCTCAGGTGACAAGCACAGGATCTGAGAACCTCGCATTGGGATTTAACATTGGGAACTCACAAAAAAGACAAAAACTTGAAGGTTCTAGCCCAAGACAGTTTATGAATACACCAAAACATACCAAAACTATTTTTTCGGCAGCTATTCAATAACTACAGGCTTACCGCGCCTATAGATGCACCGGGGGAAAACAAAAACATAGCAGGATCACGCAGGGTACAGTATTCCTGAGTCACGGCCAAGAACACAAAACGTTTGATTAATCTTGCAGCATTTTCCCGGATCAGTTCAATCAGAGACACAAATCAAACAAAGAAAGTTAAATCAATTAAAGCACCGTGTAGCCAACACAAATCACTGAGGGAATGTTCAAAGTTCAGCCAACAAATCCGACATCATCTCCTCCCAGACTTCGATTTGGGGCTGCAGTTCCAATTTTTCAATTGATTGTATACCCAGAATTCTGGTGGTTATATGGAGGTTTCCTAAAATAGGTGGTACCCCCAGTCATCATCCATTCATGGATGGGATTTTCCATGAAATAAACCATCCAGCCAACTTGGGGTACCCCCATGACTTAGGAAACCCCCATATATTCCCATTAGTTCCCTATGATATACACTAGCAAAACAGTAATGGTTCCATGATATATGCCATTAATTATATCATATAGTCTAATACAGTAGTATTTCCATGATATTAACCCTATATTTCCATGGTATATCCGATTTTCTCCCAACTTACGGAGGTGAACTCACCACCCCTGCGACGCTGCGACGCCCAGGCATCCCAATGGAGCGGTAGACATTCGTCGCATTCCCAGGTGGCACCCGGAACTTCTTCAGAGCCATTTTCCAAGGAGGAATAGTCCATCCTAGGCTGAAAAAAACATGTTGTGCATCTTAATGGACAATCATAGGCTGGATGGTTTATTTCATGGACAATCAATTTTTGAAATGGATGATTTCGGGGTACACCCCCATTTCATGTTCAGGATTAGATACCTGCCGAAGAATCGATTTTTGTTTAGCTGGTTGACCCAGCAAGATCTCGCTGCCACTGGTGGAATGGCTAATCGGCTAGATATATGTGACTATCCTGGTGAATAATGGTGATTAATGGTGATTAATGATGGTTAATGATGCTGATTAATGGTGATTAATGGGATAAATGATAATAATGAATGTTACCATCTGGTGGAGGTTCTTCACCAAGACGTTGACGTAATTCAGCCAATTGATTGCGAAGGGAAATGATTTCATGTTGGAATTCTGGATCGGTGGCCTTTGGCGGAAGCCAGGACTGCATGTGCTCCGCAATGATCTGTGCGGCATTGTGAGATGCTGTCCCGGTCGATGCCGTTTCTGAATTGCGATAGCAACTCTGTGGCAAATACAACAGCTGCGATGTCCAAGAAGGGACCAGATAGAATTCAAGACCGTGAGCGAACTTTCAGCGCTGGGAGAGCCAATGGATCACACTCTTGAAGCATTTTGCGTGAAGGCTGATGACCTCATGGTCCGAGGAAAAGTGAAGCCGTTGATCTTCTGCCGGCAGGTGACAGCCGCCTTGCATTTATGGCAAAGATTATGTCGCTTTCTTTTGCAATGAACTACAAACAACATGACCATACTGGCTCGTTTTGAGTGAGGTGCCCATCATCCTAAGGTGGTTTCCCCCAGTTATAAGTTGGTGTATAAACCCCGTTAAATGTGTATATATATATATATGTATTACATATTTATCCACCATAAACATCCATGAGCCATAGTTGCCTTAGGTATGAACTTACTTAGCTATCTATGGGGCCCACATTGTAGCGGGGTATGATGGGTTTGATTCGAACATCAAATCCAGAATGTCAAACCCAAAAACTGCGTAGATCTTCTATGTCCTTCCCAAAAAACTTTCTACCGGATGGGGCTCCCCAGTGATGTTAGTTGGTTTGTAAACCCCATTAAGTATATAGTTATAAGTATCATAAACCATGGTCATTGGAGTTATAAACCAACTGAACGCTATCGTTTGGGGGCCCCACATCGTAGGAATGACAATACAAATGAGCCGTCCTGCCAAACCAAGAATGGTGGTGACTCACAAATTGCTGAATCCATGTGTAGTAAAACTAACATTAGTTATCTGGAGTAGGCATCCTTTCATTGATTTGACAGGAAGTAATAACACAGATCTTTCCGGAATGAGAATGGCACAGAACTGCATTGAACAACAGTAGCTCTTGAAGATGTCTAATGAGGTTAAGAAGCGTAGTCAATGAACCCAATGTTTTTGAACCTGATTACATTGAAAAAATGAACTTAAAGTTAATGATGAACCCAAGGATTCATTGATCTCAAAGTTTTTGAATCCTGCGTTGTTCACCAGTCTGGCTGAATATTTCGGATGAAGTTTTGAGGCCGGAATTTCTCATGGAATTTTGAGGGTTTTATCTTCTCAAAAAGGAACACAATGCACATTATACTGGTTGGTTAATAGGGATTCCCATATTGGATTTGATATTATATTATGATTATTTTCAATATATTGGGTAGTATAATCCCCCATAATCATCAAATAACAGGGGTTTTGAACACTGCTGAATTCTCCTGAAATCAAAGGCTTCAAAGAATCAGTTCATGGTACTCGCACATTTGATACGTTGCGTAGAAGGACAGCTGTTGGATGTCTGAAAAAGCACATCGAAGACCCTCAAACTCTAACAAAAGTGCAGCATCTTGCCGCACGAAGACTGCATTCGCCCTACAATGTGGTGCCCCCTAGTGATGTTAGTTGGTTTATAAACCCCATGAACACTTTAGTTATAGGTACCATAAACCATATATAGTGAAATTGGAGTTAAAAACTATGGTT